GTTTCAAATGGTTATTTTGTCATCATTTGCTATATTCAGCAAAGTTAACCAAAAATTGAAGGGTGATTCTCAAAAATCTGTATTTTCGGCTTTTCTCATACTACAGTACACGGATCCATTCAGTATAACTAAACACAGCAAAATAAACATGACAAATCAAAACATCCGTGAATGTGTGTGGAAACAATGTGAATGTATGGAAATGTCTGTGCCTGTGCATAAATACAATGTGCGATCAGTGCGTCAAGAGTAATCATACATGCATTATTATAAGGGACTCACGTGTGCTTACTGTATGACTCCTGTATGATATATATATATAGTGCTTAATTAATCAGCATATGTAATTAATTTGATTGACTAGTTTCTTCTTTCCCAGCGTATTAAATTGTGATTATTTAGTCACTGCATTCTTTTATGGTAACATGGTAGACTATACATTATCCTTTACTTAAAAAAAGTAATAATTTACTCACTATCATGTCGGTTTTTCTAGTAGTATTTCATTTATAAAATAAAATTAACTTTTTTTTTTATCCTGTGACCGTCAGTCAAGGACAAAACAGCAGGGGTCTCATACCAAGTATCATCTTATCTGAATAAATAGATATCTAGTTATTAAAATAAATGCATATTCCATTTGAGCACTTGCTTATTGTCTTCCAGGTGGTGATTCTGTACTTCCAGCCGAGTGTTTTCCGCTGTATCCTGCTGCGATGGGTTCGTCTGCTCGGATTTGCCACAGTCTATGGAACGGTCACCCTCAAACTCTACAGGTACAATTTTTATTACATTATAAAAGTCACTCTTCCAGATACCTGTTGAACTTACAGTGTTGTTATGTTGGTCACAGTCTTAGTGATTATTAATTATTTTGATTGATAAAAATCTTAATCCTAGGATTGGCTAGAATGAGATATTGAGAATGGTTTATGTGAGCGGAGAATGACACATTGCAATCCATGATAGTTTTGAGATTGATAGATATGCTGCTCCAGACAAACAATAGTCATGAAATAGGCCTACATACACACTACACTTTAGCTTTGTTATCCCTATTACATTTCATATTCAAACAGACTATTATTCAATTTAGGCTTTGGATGCTAAAAGAAGGTCAGCATATCTAGAGCGGCTCTCTAATGCACCTTTTTACTCTTATGTGGACTTCATTTCCTGTGAGACCTTGCAGCATTAGCCTCTCGTGATTCAACTGCCGTGAAACCCTTTTAAGCACAGTTAAAGTTTGTATTACCTCTAATTTCCAATTAAAGTAAGCGTCCTATAAAGTGTCAGAGCTGTATGTTCCAAAGCTAGTTCATCTGGGGTAAAGTACGTTTTAAAAATGATTCACTACATTGTTAAGCTACGCGCTAAAATGCCTGCTTAAAATCATTGTGGGAAAACAAATAACAGGAGGTACAAAATGGCCACAATGTATTAGATTTTATTGAATGGTTTGGACAACAAAATCTGGTCTCCAGAAGAATAGGATGAAGGAGAATCTTGCACAGAGCGTGCACAGAAGAAAATTTGGGTTTGATGGTATGATATATGCTGAAAATGCCAAAAAGTCTTAATGGCATTCGTAATTAAGGCAACAGAAATTAATGAATTCTCTTCGGATCTGGACAGAAATGGGATGATACTTAACTGGGGTGAAAATTAACACGTTGCTTAGATTTATTTATTTTTTTACTATACACTCATTAAAGGGCTACACTTTATCAATGTGACATAAAGACAAATGGTGATAATGAAGAGACTCTGCAGGCTATGGCCATTTATAAGTTTGTTTGATTACCAAAAATTGGTCCACATCCAAAGAGAAGAATGTATATATATTAATATGTCTAATGAAATCAAAATTGACCTTTATTTCTTAATGCACATTCATGTGCAATCCGTCAGTTTTTTAATACTTTAACAAAATATACTAATAAAAAATGTAATAACTTGCCCGCTTTTTTTCTGATCCAATCCCACATCAGTTCCAATACGGAAGTGATAATGATACAATGGTTGTTGTCACTGTTTTCCAGGGTTCTCAAGGTGTTCTTGTCACGTACAGCCCAACGGATTCCCTACATGACCAGCTGGAGAGTGTTGCGTCTACTGTGTGTCATCCTGCTGATTGTGTTATGGTTCGCAATAGCCTGGACCGCCGCTGTTTGTCAGAATCCAAACAGACATCTCGCGCTCATCAATGTGGGCCTCACCACTGATCGGCTACAGTTCAGCATGTGTCTGCTGGACCGCTGGGACTACATGATTGCTGTGGGTGAGTGAACTTGTTACCTAGGAGCTTTTTGTATGAGTTTTTGGCATTTTAATGAGCACAGGCTGTATTTCCTCAATGGAACACAAAAAGCAGTATTTAGCAGAATGTTCCCACTGCTCTTTTCCATATAATGAAAGTGAATGTATATTAGGGCTGTCAAGCCCCAAAAATTGCAAGAAGGCACCATAAATGTAGTCCAAAAAATTAATGTAATATATTCCATTTTTTCTGCAACCACTTTTTACTTTTTCACTTTTTCTATGAACGACACACTTCTTATTAAAAATTGCATACCCCTTGTGAAAAAGAAGTTCGCTTAAGTGTATTGAATGTGCACTTTCAGTGTACTTCAAATCTTAAATGTACATTTGAAAAAAAATGTGCTTGCAGATAATATGAATTATGAAATAAAAGACCAATAAAGTGTACTTAAAAAGGGTACACTTTTATTGTACTTTGAAGAAGTGTGTTATTCAATATTACATTTAAAGTTAATATATTTTAAATGAACAAAATCATTACTTCATTACAAATGTGTAATTACAAATATATTTAAATACATGGCATACATTCACACCTGTATTTAAGTGTTAACATGTAGTGCTGTCAATCGAAAAAAAAAAACTAATCACACATCGCAGGACAGTTTTGAAAACCACTGCATTTCAGAAAATAGTTGTTAAATGTGACTCATGTGTAACAAATACTTACATACATGCCCAGTTTTAAGGCAGTGTTAATCTCCATTTTGGTAACTCCATGACTTAACTGACGACATAACTACAACATTGCATGCTCGTATTTTAATTTGCGATTTAATATGAAATTATACAGCACGCGCCACTGCATTTGTACTGTGCTACGTACACAGTATAACGGCTGACAGGACAGGAAAATTAGTTTTTACTGACATTTGACCTGAAACATCTCATCTGGCCGCAGTTCACTGTTATTTTACCGAAGCTCCCTCATCTAGCGCCTGGTGCTGAGGTGAAGTTGGAGTGCGCATCTGAAAAGACTCCTGTTTAATGTGGACATAAAAACATTCTGGGTCTAAATAAACTAAATTCCTGTCAGGAAAAAAAGCGACTGAAGCAGCATTTGTGAGTGGGGTGGCCAACCCTAGCTGCGTTAATTGCGTTAAATATTTTTAACGCGTTAAACTGGAAAAAAACCGAATAATAATAATTGCTACGCGCTAATTTTGACAGCACTAGTAAGTGTATTCTTTAAATTATTTCCATAATATGTATTCTTTATCCACCTTTTTTTTCCCATAAAAATGGACGGCCATTTGTAAATTCTATGGGTCAGACTTCCGGTCTCATCCGTGTCCAGCTATTTTTAGCTGTACAGAACCGCTCATTTTGCTGCTTGATATGGAAAATTGGTGTGCCTTACCATATTATTTGAATGTGTTGTCTTAATTACGAACACACTGGTTTATAATGCAAACAGTTTTACCGTTTACTGCACGTTGTTATTTTTCTCAGTATTTCCCTATAGCGGCTAATGAACCAGAAGTCTTGCCCATAGGCATACTTCCGCGTTAAAGAAAAGGGTAGATAAGTATTCTAAAGTGTACAGCTCTTTTATGTTGCTATTCAAAGGAAGTCTGTCATTTGCAAAATCTGTAATATGCTTCTTCTTCTTTTTTTTCTTTTTTTTCTTTTTTTTAACTGTGCTCAAATAAATAACATATCCATAACAAGGTACATTTTACAGACCGAGAACTGATCAGAGAAAAACACATGTTTTTGAAAGAGAGAAGTGAGGATGCTAGATTAATTTCTTGAGGAAGAGCATTCCACAACCTGGGAGCCACAACACTGAAAGACCTGGCTCCCATAGTCACCAAACTAAACTTAGGGGTGACTAACAATCCCACACTAGAAGATCTGTAAGGAGTGAACAGGAGCATAAGGCTGAAGTAAGTCAGATAAATATGTAGGACCAAGGTTATGGAGAGCTTTGTAAGTGAGAATTAGTACCTTGACGTTTGTACGCATGGAAACAGGAAGCCAATGAAGGTGGTAGAGGATTGGAGTAATGTGCTCATTCTTGTGTGAGTGATCAAGCGGGCTGCAGAGTTTCGAACATATTGGAATCACTTGATATTTTTAGCTGAAAGGCCATAAAGAAGTGAATTAAAGTAATCTAGTTGAGATGTAGAGAGAGGATCGAATACGAGATATATTACGTAGGTGAAGAAAAGCTGTCTTTACCAGTTTACCAATGTGATCATTTAATGAAAGTGTGGAATCAATGAGAACACCATGATTTTGAACTGTTGTGGAGGGCATCATCAAATCACCATCCAAATCTATCAGTTGACCGGATAGTTTAGAGAAAACAGCTTTAGAGCTAATCAGTATTATCTACATTTTAACGGCGTTAAATACAAGGTAATTTGACTCCAGTCTAAGCTTGAGTTCCTTGATGCAAGTTGTTAATGTAGGTGGAAGAATACACTGAAGTGGAAGGTGTGCTAAAATAAATCTGAATGTCATCAGCATAACAGTGGAAGTTAAAATATTAGCATTTGATTATTTGTCCAATTGGTAACAATAATAGTGAAAAGAAGAGGCCCCAAGAGAGAACCTTGAAGTACAACAGAACTGATGGATTTGGTGGATGATTTTTGCTTATGGTATATAACAAATTGTTGCGTCCCTGTCAGATAGGAGGAAAACCAGTCAAAATCTGTGGCAGAATTTCCAGTTGCTGAAAGCCATGACAGGAGTATCTTATGACAAACAGTGTCAAAGCTGAGCTGAGGTCTAACAGAAGGAGAGTGCTAAGAGCGCCAGAATCAGAAGCTAGAAGGAGATCATTAAGAACATTAACCAGGGCTGTTTCAGTACTGTGTAGCTCATAGAGGTTGTGTGCTGTTAAATAGGTCTGTAACTGGGAGGCCACAACTTTTTCTAATATCTTAGAGAGAAAAGAGAGGTTCAAAATAGGCATATAGCTACTTAGGGTTACAGCAGCAATCTTAAAGGAGTCATATGATGTTGCTAAAAATAACATTATTTTGTGTATTTGGTGTAATGAAATGTGTTTATGTGGTTTAAGGTTCAAAAACACATTCGTTTCCATATACTGTACATTATTGTTTCTCTTCTATGACCCGCCTTTCTGAAACGCGTCGATTTCATCGGTCTGAAAAGTGAGGTGTGCTCTGATTGGCCAGCTATCCAGTGCATTGTGATTGGCCGAATACCTCAAGCGTGTGACGGAAATGTTACACCCCTTACCATATTGTGATGCCTTGTCCCGGCCGGAGCGACGAGGCAAAAACATTCAAACCCATTATAAACAAGGTTAAATACAAGGTATTTAAAAACCGGCGGGTTTGCGGCAACCACATGTGATGACCCCGGGCTGGACTCCGCTTCATCCACTGTGAAAGCCGATCTGGCGATCCACTGCGCGAAGTTGATGTATTTCCTCAGCGACCAGCATGGATCAGCTCCAGGCATGACGAAGTGGATATCGTCCTCTTTTGGAAGGCCAAACAAGGCTTTCACAACGAAACACACAGCGCCTTCACGACATGGCGGCGGCGGCAACAACAATACTACATCGAGAATCAAAACTACGCCTTCTTTCTTTGCGTGAACATTTGGGCGGCGCTATGCAAATCTTCCCACATCGTGACGTAGACATGTGGGGGCGTGTTAGAACGAGCCATTTTAGGTAGGCATGGTTGACTCTTATAAAGAATATCTCTTTGGATTTGAGACTTTAGTCTTTGCAACTTTACAGTTCTTCTTAATGCATCAAGAGCTTGTAACACTCCAAAGAGAAAAGCAAAATTGAAATCGCATCATATGACCCCTTTAAAGGGTTAGTTCACCCAAAAATGAAAATTATCCCATACCTTACTCACCCTCAATGCATCCTAGGTGTATATGACTTTCTTCTTTCAGATGAATCCAGTCGGAGTTATATTAAAAATATTAAAGAATATAAAAAAAATAAAGATTATTTGATCTTTCAAGCTGTTTAATGCCAGTCAGTGGGTGTTGCATTGCTTCAGTCCAAAAGAAGTCAAATAAAAAGCGCCCATCCATAAAAAAAGTGTCTCACAAGGCTCTGGGGGGTGAACAAAGGCCTCCTGTAGCGAATCCATGCGTTTTTGTAAGAAAAATATCCATATTCAAAACATAATATTCACTTGCGCCAACAGCTGTACACGGAAGCAGCTCCGGGCGGATAACGTATGAGGTCAGCGTTGCGCATGCACCTGTGAGTCTCATGAAAACGTCTCCAGGTTACGAATGTAACCGTGGTTCCCCAAGGGAATGAGACACTGCGTCGGAAACACTTTGGTCACGCTGGGGGCATTCTCAAAGCGTTTCCGACGCAGCTCGAGTTCCTGAAGGAGCACCAACGTTTGTTAACAGGAGCAAAGGAAGCAAAGTTTCCTTACTTTAGCAAAGGAAAAACAGTCTCATATTGGCTTATATCGAAATTCTTTGGCATTCTTCATTTCAAATCCTCGTTTTGTACTTCTAATTCGTAACTTCTGAGTGGCGCATGCGCAAAGCCGACCTTATACGTCATCCGCCCGGAACTGCTTTTGTTCACAACAGTGAGCGAAAGCTAGATTAAATTGATAATTACATTTTAAATATTTTTCTTACAAAAATGCATCGGTTCGCTACAGGAGGACTTTGTTTACCCCCCGGAGCCGTGTGAAACACTTTTATTTTATGGATGGGTGCTTTTTATTTCACTTCTTTTGGACTGAAGCAATGCAACACCTGCTGACTGGCATTAAACAGCTTGAAAGATCAAAGACAATTTTTTATATAACTCCGACTGGATTCATCTGAAATAAGAAAGTCATATACACCTAGGATGCATTGAGGGTGAATAATTTATCAGCTAATTTTCATTTTTGGGTGAACTAACCCTTTAAGCTTAGATGGTACAATTCCAGATGACATTGGTGTATTAATGAAATGAGTGATGGGTAGTGACAAAGCAGTCAAGCAATTCTTCGGTAAAGAGGTAGGTGATAAAAAAACATACTACCTTACTACCTTTTTTTATTGTTATCTTATTTGAATGGGGTGGATATTGGAAATAGAAGGCCAATCAAAAGCATTGCAATATGGGATACAATATTATATACACTGTGCTCTGTTGTGTATACTACTAATTTTGACAGATGTCATATGCCATTCAGATATGCTTTTCATACAAAAAAAAACACTCTGCACAGTGTAAATACTATGTACTGCATACATTGTAAGAGTAGAGTATGCTAATCAAAACATAACAACCGTGGTAAACCATTACAGGTCATGATGTTCGTAATACAAGCCAAGCAAGTGATGAATCAAGGCTGCCTTGGCACTAATTGCAGACACATAGCGAATCTCACAGGAAGCATCAGTTGGGCTGTGACGAATCTAATTCAGCACAAATGTTTATCCCAATGTCGTATTCTCAAGCATGGCAGATTGGAATGTGCCCAATCTAACAACTGGACCAGTAAGCGTCACATCGATGATGACAGATTTTCACTGGGGAACACATGTTTATTGATGTCAGGCCAGCTGACTGGCTAATATTGTGTAAGATGTGCCAATAGGGGATGGGGAACTATAAAACTTTGGACTACCTTCCACAGCTTCATTTGCTATTGTCTTTCAAGCAGTGTCCAGAGAATATAAGCAATCTAGATGGCTTTTATTGCATTTATTGAGTGTCTTTTTTCTCTGTCATTCTAGTAATTTCAATCTAGCGCTATATTGAAAAAAAAATTATTGAAAATCACTTTCACAGACTTTTTCATTAACTGTTCCCTCCTGGTGGAATGACCTGCCCAAATCAATCTGAGCAGCTGAGTCCTTAACCATCTTCAAGAAACGACTAAAAACACATCTGTTCCACCTTTATTTGACCCTCTAACTCTAACACTTTCTGTTCTATTTTAATTCTACTTTATATTTATATTTTTTTATTTTTTATTCTTTATTTAAAAAAACAACAAAAAACAAACAATAGCTTTCTATTTTCTCCAGGTTACGAATGTAACCGTGGTTCCCCAAGGGAATGAGACACTGCGTCGGAAACACTTTGGTCACGCTGGGGGCATTCTCAAAGCGTTTCCGACGCAGCTCGAGTTCCTGAAGGAGCACCAACGTTTGTTAACAGGAGCAAAGGAAGCAAAGTTTCCTTACTTTAGCAAAGGAAAAACAGTCTCATATTGGCTTATATCGAAATTCTTTGGCATTCTTCATTTCAAATCCTCGTTTTGTACTTCTAATTCGTAACTTCTGAGTGGCGCATGCGCAAAGCCGACCTTATACGTCATCCGCCCGGAACTGCTTTTGTTCACAACAGTGAGCGAAAGCTAGATTAAATTGATAATTACATTTTAAATATTTTTCTTACAAAAATGCATCGGTTCGCTACAGGAGGACTTTGTTTACCCCCCGGAGCCGTGTGAAACACTTTTATTTTATGGATGGGTGCTTTTTATTTCACTTCTTTTGGACTGAAGCAATGCAACACCTGCTGACTGGCATTAAACAGCTTGAAAGATCAAAGACAATTTTTTATATAACTCCGACTGGATTCATCTGAAATAAGAAAGTCATATACACCTAGGATGCATTGAGGGTGAATAATTTATCAGCTAATTTTCATTTTTGGGTGAACTAACCCTTTAAGCTTAGATGGTACAATTCCAGATGACATTGGTGTATTAATGAAATGAGTGATGGGTAGTGACAAAGCAGTCAAGCAATTCTTCGGTAAAGAGGTAGGTGATAAAAAAACATACTACCTTACTACCTTTTTTTATTGTTATCTTATTTGAATGGGGTGGATATTGGAAATAGAAGGCCAATCAAAAGCATTGCAATATGGGATACAATATTATATACACTGTGCTCTGTTGTGTATACTACTAATTTTGACAGATGTCATATGCCATTCAGATATGCTTTTCATACAAAAAAAACACTCTGCACAGTGTAAATACTATGTACTGCATACATTGTAAGAGTAGAGTATGCTAATCAAAACATAACAACCGTGGTAAACCATTACAGGTCATGATGTTCGTAATACAAGCCAAGCAAGTGATGAATCAAGGCTGCCTTGGCACTAATTGCAGACACATAGCGAATCTCACAGGAAGCATCAGTTGGGCTGTGACGAATCTAATTCAGCACAAATGTTTATCCCAATGTCGTATTCTCAAGCATGGCAGATTGGAATGTGCCCAATCTAACAACTGGACCAGTAAGCGTCACATCGATGATGACAGATTTTCACTGGGGAACACATGTTTATTGATGTCAGGCCAGCTGACTGGCTAATATTGTGTAAGATGTGCCAATAGGGGATGGGGAACTATAAAACTTTGGACTACCTTCCACAGCTTCATTTGCTATTGTCTTTCAAGCAGGGTCCAGAGAATATAAGCAATCTAGATGGCTTTTATTGCATTTATTGAATGTCTTTTTTCTCTGTCATTCTAGTAATTTCAATCTAGCGCTATATTGAAAAAAAAATTATTCTCTTTTGTTAGTTTTGTCCTCATTTGTAAGTCCCTTTGGATAAAAGCGTCTGCTAAATGACTAAATGTAAATGTAAATATTGGTTTGTAACAAAGGTTTTGACAGCCAAATTATTCTCTGGACGGTCTGGGTACTGGTAGGTCCCAGGTACTAGTCAGTTGGGTGTTAACTCTATACTACCTCTTTCAAACAGCTGAGTTCCTGTTCCTCCTGTGGGGTGTGTATCTGTGTTATGCGGTGAGGACCGTCCCCTCAGCGTTTCATGAGCCACGCTACATGGCCATCGCATTGCACAATGAGCTCATCCTATCTGCCATTTTCCACATTTTAAGGTGAGTGAATGCCACCAAGGACTTCCTCATTGTTCTCCAATGTGGTGTGAACATCTCCCACCCGTCCCACATGCAAGTATTCTCTACTAAAGATGTTTTATTTACCATTTAGTATTATTGTTAGATATTTACAGAAATGTTGTAATAAATTACTTTTATGAATTATACAAGACACAATTGTTTTATGTTTACTGTAAAGAAACAGACTTACATTTAAAATTGACTTTTTATATAGTTGGACAAACTTCTGTCTTAAGCCCCATCCACATCTGGTTTCAACTGCATACAGATATAAATAACTTACACATTATTACAATGAATGGGGACTGAGGCTTGTAAGTTCAAGACGATACAAAAGCACCATAAAATATATATATAGTATATATGGCTTGTGCTCTATATTCCAAGTAATATGATTTATGTGAAAATCTAGATCTAAATATAAGCTGCTATTCTTTGAAAATCTCCATTTCCAATGGGATGTTAACCACTATGATGGGATCATTGAGTCTTAAAAAGCGTCAATCTGTTTTATTAATGGAAAATCCGCCAAAAAATCATTCATATAATTCAGAGGTTAGGATTTCTTCAAGCTTTGATGAAATTGAAATTTGTTCATTTGCTTTGAGATCCTTTAATAATCAGAACTAATTTGGATACTTGGCAAAATATACAGTCTCTCTTTGCCTGTTGCATTATTGCACTAAAATGATACAGTTAGCTCACTAGGTTTGAAAGGTTTTATCTTATTTATTCTTATCCCTTTTGCCCTTTCAGGCACACTTTTGACAGAAACCAATGACATGACATGACATCATTCGAATATCAATTCAGTTTAGTATTGATATTTTTGATTAAGCTATCAGCTCTGGCATTTGGGCAGTGGTTAAAACCCTCCTGAGCTATTTGAACAATTTTATTGCTTTTTAGTTCTTATGCTAATTTTGAATACATTTTTGAGGAAGCTCAGCTTCCCATGCCCGATGGACTGACACTGCCTTCTAAAGAGTCGGTTTAGGGTTGTGGAGCGTATGAATATCTTCATCAGTAATGAGGCACTCATTCAGGCAGGGACTTGAACTCTTATACAAGATAAAAGCAGTTGACTTCAAAGGCAGGGCATGTGATTTTTAGAAGGGCTGCATCACTTGCTGCTATTTCCACTGTTTCTACAGTAATTAATCACAGTACAGAGCCATGGGATAGTGTTACTTAACTATCTGTATTTTGGTGTAATAGCACCCAAGTCCTTTCATCATAAAAAAGTAATTAGTGCATTGTGGGAGTGTTTTCAGCATACACAGGTCCTTTCTAGCTTACCTCAGGAATCTCAGAAGGTGATGTAACAACAATTAACAACCTTATTTTCTGCGACGGATATGAACGGACATGTCCATGCTATTCCATGTAGCAGTGCATCTGTCATCTCAGAGGGACCATCAATTTCCAACTAGATTAAAAGAGCTGGAAGCAACAAAGCTGCAAACCTCATTGCAAACATGGTGAAGGTGAAGACTGTGAAGTTCTACCTTCACAGATTGAGGCAACAATGTGGGTGCATCTCAAACTGCTCCCTAGCTCCAAAGTTCAGAAATCGGTATATTGTGTACAAATCCAGGCACTTGCAAGGACCCTGGCTCACTACACATTAGAACAGTGATTACTCAATGTCCGACGATATGACTACATACAACATTGTAGAGCATCACCACTGGCAGGACCAGTATATTTTTGATAATTTTTATACTCTTTAAACACACTGTTCTGTTACATATCCTTACAACATTTCAGACGAATATTAATTATAAATGTTAACTAGCAGATGTGTGTTTATGCAGGCATATAAAAAAATGGTTTGGCTTTTCAAGTCATCTATTGTGTGTCATTACAGTATATTTGTTGAGTTGACTCATGCATTTTGTTCCGCACTTCAGAAATGTGACATAATTTCCGATAACAGAGAATAGTTATCGAGCATGAAGCTCCCTGGTTTTTGTGGTGCATTGTGGGATTTTTCAGGAAACGAATGTGCCAGTGCCCTGGAAGGATTTTGCAATTGAGACAGCCCTTAAAATGGCTGACTCCCTGATCTGTGCCCTGACTAGTAAACAAGTGAGCTGATTGAGACACACCCTGTATTCTTTATGAATAACACTGTACAATGCAATTGCGACAAACTCATATGAAAAATGTTCATTTAAAGATGACAGGTAGCCATAAATACACTTTTGTTCGGTAGTGTAAAAACAGTGATAGGAAACACATCCATCTCACTAAAATGTTAGTTCAACCAAGAGAATCAAAGGATATAGAGTACTGAAGTGTTAGCTTAGCTATATGGTAATGTCAGAGTTAACTTTTGAGCATCAATCGACGTCCATACTGAGATCTACTAGAAATCGATTTAAACTCAGTCATTGTGATTGGGGCTTTACTTGTGCAGTTCATGTGTGCCTCAGGAGTGCTGTTCATGTGGCTTGAGTTTAGCAAAGATGAGTTTTTTTTTTAGGTACAGTAGGTGACCCTGTAAACATGCAATGTTTTTTTTCAGCCTATTGCCAAAAACAAAGTAAAAGCTGTAGATGATTATTCATTTTTCTATAAATCCACCCACAGGTTCACTCTTGCCCCTGAACTGCACCCAGACTGGATGTTGATGCTATTCTTTGCTCATGCACACTTGACAGTGACTGTCACTTTGGGGTTACTGCTTGTGCCAAAGGTAAACCCAGCAATCATCTTTCATCCTCTGAATAATTTGTTAGCTAAAATCTAATTTTAAAGAATCTCTTAAGCACTCATGTCTTTCCCACAGTTCTTGTTTGCGGGTACACATCTAAGGGATGACATTGCTACAGAGGCCTATGAAGATGAATTGGACATGGGGCGGTCAGGGTCATACCTGAATAGCAGCATCACGTCCGCCTGGAGTGAGCACAGTCTGGACCGAGAGGACATTCGAGTAGGTGCCGTGCTTTCTTTCAGGCTTCCTTTTCTCCTTGACTCTCTCCTGTCTTAGCAAATAACTGAAATGTCATAATCTGCAAATATCTCTTGACCCCTTGTCCTATAACTGACAAACATACTGAGCCATGGCAGTTTTTTATTGCAGACACCAGAGGAAATGGGCCAGCTAAGTTCTATTAATGGCTGTGGCGTAAGGTCTTGCGACAGTCTTTGGGAAAAACGTACCAACGTGAGCAGAGGTTTTTGTTTGTTTGTTAGAGCTGAAGAAGTCTCTCACCGAAGACCCAAATTGTATTCATATGAAGGGCATTTTGTTAATGGGATAAAGTTCTGCTCTTGGTATAATTTCCGTTGATAACTTCAAGACACAGCTGTACGAAATGATTTGAAATGCTTCAGAGGCTGTTTCAGACCTAACAATAAAACATAACATTTTCATATTTGACACCGTCCCAGACTGTCCTGTCTCTAATTAGTGTAAACAGCATGTTGGTTTGGTCTAACGTCTTCGAGGCACTGTCTTTAGTTGCATATCATGACTAGTTCTGCATGTTTTCTGTGCAATAGAGTGTCTGCTTCACTGTAACTAGAGTCATTTCATTTTTACGCTTTTACATCTAGACATATGTTGTGAGTTAATGACCCATTTTCTCTTCAAATCCACAGGAAGAGCTGAAGAAGCTCTACTCCCAGCTGGAGATTTATAAGAGGAAAAAGATGCTGGCCAACAATCCTCACCTGCAGAAGAAGCGCAGCTCCAAAAAGGGCCTAGGTCGCTCCCTCATGCGCCGCATCACTGAGATTCCAGAGACAATGGGCCGCCAGTGTAGCCGTGAGGACAAGGACCTGGGTGAACATGGGAGTAATCGCAACAGTATCTGTGTCCTGAGAAAGAACCCTTTTGAACCCACACACTCTGCTAAGCCTGCCAAAGATGAATCCTTGAAGAGCAAAGTTTTCTCCCTTAAAAAGTCCCATAGCAGTTATGACCATGTCCGGGACCACAGTGAGGATTCCAGCAGTTCAATAACTGACAAGATGGAAGTCGCAAATACAGAAGGCTCCCTTCTCGAAACCCTAATGGGCAAGAAGCTGGTCAAAAAGTCCTCTGAGAAGATTGATGCAGCCAGCGAGTCAACAGAGTCAGTTCCCTTGGTGTGTAAGTCAGCCAGCGCTCACAACCTGACAGCGGATAAGAAACCTATTCACCCTAGAACATCCATGCTGCAGAAATCTCTAAGCGTTATTGCCAGTGCCAAAGAGAAAACGCTTGGTCTAACAGGAAAGGCCCAAGCAGTGGAGGATCCAACAAAAAAAGCTAATCAAAAGAACAAGGATGCCAAGACCTCAGCTGAAGCTGAAGAGAAAGAGGGTCATCCAAAGATGATTGTCAGTCAGTCAGTGGAGTACAAGCAGACAGCTGCCAAAACAGGTATAATGAAGCCACAGATGAGCGGAAGCCAGCCCTCCATTTGCTCAGAAACAGCCAAGGGGAAAGACCTGTATGACCTCTCAGAAGTGTGCCCTTGGGAGTTGGAGGACTTGCCAACCCCCTCCGAAAACAAGGTGCAGAAACATGTGTCCATTGCCCCCGAGCAGACCACCACAGTCCATGGAAGTAGCAACAAGGCAACAAAGTCACAACAGCAAAAGCAGAAAGGCACAGAGCAGTCACCCTCTGTGGCCAGACATCCAATCCAGAAAGTTGCTGACAGAACAGACATATGTCCATGGGAGGAAGGAAATGAGGACCATGGTCAGGCAATGGGGCCAAAACCTCACTCCAGTAGTAAGCCTGCTATGTCCCAATCCCAGGCATCAGGAGAAGTTGTCAAGGTTCTAAAAGCTGAGGTCTGTCCTTGGGATTTTGAAGAAGTGGCGAGCAAGCCAAGGGACTCGGATTGCTCCCCTGATCAGAGCAGACAAAGAAAGGACACCACACCAACTGAGATCAAAGGGAAAATAAGCTCCTCGCCTACTGAAGTCAAGGTCAAGGGTACACCTACAGAGGGCAAAGCAAAGAGTGTTCTCTCTGAGCCTACTAAATCCATGGGCAGCTCACTACAGCCACCCTCTAAAGTAGAAGTGTGTCCATGGGAATTTGAGACTGTGTCAGGTCCCATCTCTGAAAAAAACCCTTGTTCTTCTCAGGTTTCTAAAACAAAGGAGACCCATGCTATCAAGAAGGGAATTTCTCCTGGCAGAGTATCAGAGATGGAAAGGGAGAACACAAAGGGCCCTGATGATGACAAAATGAAATCAAATGCAAAAGACAAGTTAACCTCTGGCAAAACGAAAGAAAGACCTGTCAGCCAGTCTAAACTGGCTGAGGTTTGTCCATGGGATGTTGATAGTAGTCAAGAAATTGTCTTAATGGAAAAACAAAAAAGCCCAAATGTTGCATTAGCAAAAAGCAAGGAAGCAGAGGTATGCCCTTGGGATTTTGAAGACGCAGCAACTAGTAAAGAAGTCAACCAGAGCACCAGTTCATCCACTGGCAAACAGAAAAGTTCGAATTCTAAAGGCAGAGTTACTAGTGGTGTAAAAATGTCAGATGTCTGCCCTTGGGACGTTGGTGACCAAGGATCAACAAAAAAGGCATGACACTTTACCTGAGTGAACCATTAGTTAGTCCTCATTATATGTGCTTTTTCTTTCATAAATACACCATGGAATAAAAACTTATTTATGGTGATTTGGAGAAAAAAAATCAACATGTCGCACAAGCTGCCTTTCTCTTCAACCTTTTGTTTTCCCTTTGTGTTTTTTTTGGAATAAAAAAAAACAGACAAAAAACAAAAATGCAACAACTCACCAGGCATTCCAGATTTTAAAGTATTGGTTGAACCTTTAAATAGAAACGGTAGTTTACAATTATGCAACTCTTTATGTGCAATGTAAACAAGATGCCTATATGCACTACATGTATCCTTATTAGCAATTAACGTTTGAACTCTCATAGCAGCTGCATCTGTAGCCTCTCCTTGACTGTGGCTTCCACAAAAGATTGTACAAGTTCCTGTTACATAGGAAGGTGTGGACCATGCATGAAATGTCATGGAGTAAGCCTGATCCATTTCCTTGTATTCCTGAGTGAACCATTAGTTAGTCCTCATTATATGTGCTTTTTCTTTCATAAATACACCATGGAATAAAAACTTATTTATGGTGATTTGGAGAAAAAAAATCAACATGTCGCACAAGCTGCCTTTCTCTTCAACCTTTTGTTTTCCCTTTGTGTTTTTTTTTTGGAATAAAAAAAAACAGACAAAAAACAAAAATGCAACAACTCACCAGGCATTCCAGATTTTAAAGTATTGGTTGAACCTTTAAATAGAAACGGTAGTTTACAATTATGCAACTCTTTATGTGCAATGTAAACAAGATGCCTATATGCACTACATGTATCCTTATTAACAATTAACGTTTGAACTCTCATAGCAGCTGCATCTGTAGCCTCTCCTTGACTGTGGCTTCCACACAAGATTGTACAAGTTCCTGTTACATAGGAAGGTGTGGACCATGCATGAAATGTCATGGAGTAAGCCTGATCCATTTCCTTGTATTCTTTCGTTAAATACATTACGGTCTGGTTTGAGTAAAAATTTATATTTGCCAAAGATAGAGGTAAAATCCAATAAATCTGAGAACTCAAACCTCAGCAGCATAATAGAGACACTACATTTGTACAGTGAGCCGAATTCATGCGGCTGCTAGAAAATTAGCCTGTAGCACTTTAATAAAGAACATGCTTAGAAAGACAAACGGAAAACTGGACAGAGCTCCATTCATATTTGCCCTTGTTTGTTTTTTGGCCTTGCTGTTTTATGCCGTTCTGCAGTGAGATCATCTGCAATCCTTTTTAGTTTTCTTGACTAGAAAAAAAGCTAGAAAAAAAATGTAACATTTCCAATGCTTCCAAATTTGCTGATATATTATCCTGAATGTGCCTATTTAAATAGTCCTGTACCAGTCTTACTTTGTATTCGGAGATGTGAAACCTTTGTCATAGCCATGGGAGAGTTCCAAGGCAAAAGCCACTGCTGACCAAAAAGAACACAAAGGCTCGTCTCTCATTTGCCAAAAAATATCTTGATTATCCCCAAGACTTTTGGGCAAATATTCTGTGGACTGATGAGACAAAAGTTGAACTTTTTGGAAGGTGTGTGTCCCGTTACATCTGGCGTAAAACCAACACAGCATTTCATAAAAAAAACATCATACCAACAGTCAAACATGGTGGTGGTAGTGTGATGATCTGGGGCTGCTTTGCAGCTTCAGGACCTGGACGACTTGCCATAATTGACGGAACTATGAATTCTGCACTCTATCAGAAAATCCTGAAGGAGAATGTCCGGCCATCAGTTTGTGACCTCAAGCTCAAGCGCACTTGGGTTATGTAGCAGGACAATGATCCCAAACACACCAGCAAGTCCAACTCTGAATGGCTCAAGAAAAACGAAATTAAGGTTTTGGAGTGGCCAAATCAAAGTCCGGACTTAAGTCCGATTGAGATGCTTAAACAGTCTATTCATGCAAAAAATAAAAAAAAACAGGAAGGGGGCAAAATCCTTTTCACACCACTGTATATGACTTTTGCCTCAATGAACTCCTAATTACTGCTTATTAATAGTTAGTATAGTAGTTAGGTTTATGTTGCCTGTTGGGTAGGTTTAAGGGATGTAGAATATGGTCATGCAGAATATGTGCTTTATAAGTACTAATAAAAAGCCAATATGCTAGTAATGTGCATGCCAATACTGTATACTGGCAATGTGCATACTTCAGCAAAATATGGTGCTAGAAAATCACAAACATTTTGAAACTGTCTCTCCACCATTGCTATTACTGTCTCTGCACCGGTTGCTAATATTACTTCAATCAAAAATAGCCCTAGAATGTCAAAAAGTTGCAATGGTTATCCTTATGTCAGCGGTCACAATTTAAAAAACATGCTTCCTGTTTTCTGTACACACACTGAACGGTAATTTAGCGGATTCACTTGTGCATTTAAAGTCTGCATCTATCTCTTTTGTACATGCATGTTATAGATACTATTATGAACAATCATCCATATATATGTTATATTAATATTTAATCAAAATTTCATGACTTGATCTTCTGGTGAAACAACAGACTTCTCAATAGCAGTGTATGCCGTACTTCACCGATCATTTAGTTTGCTTAAACCTGAAACAGTTCCACAAAGAGCCCTCATGATTGCATCGTACACCGTTTCAAATATGTTGCATTTGCAAAAATTCTTGACTGATTTGACATTGTCAGCATTTTTGCTTTCATTAATAATGACTGATCTCCCCACAAAGGCTTCAGCTAAGTGGTCATGGCCAATTCTCAAAGTAAATGTGTATCCTGGCAGTCTTAGCTCTCTCCAATGTTTGTTTACTTTAAACTTAAAGGATGCCTTTAAAAGCCTTCATTGTAACCACTTTAGGATATTCCTATACATGTTTGGCTCATCTCCTGAAAAGCTTTTATGGAGATACTGTAGTCTTTCTGACAGAGATCAATTGGTGCTCTGTATGGGGAAAGTGGATAAGACAATATCAGGTTCTTCCTCATATTTCTGTCAATAGCCAAGCTGCTGAAGATCAGCCCAGTCAACTGCTGTACAAATGTGATGTGAATATTTGATTGCAGTTCAACCACTCAAAAGTGCCCATCCAACTAGATTTTCAGAAGAAAGTGTGAGTGGTGCTTGCTGCGTTAAAACTCTTCAACAATGCTAGAATGTATAATATATAAGCTTTAGCAGGCCTTTCCTCAGCAAAACGCATAGTTTAAGGTTATTCATATCTATAACACAAACAGTTCTGGTCGGGTTATGTACCAAATTAACACGTAATACTTTAAGTTAGTATTAACGTAATACTTTTTCCTCAATAGAACACCACTACTACACATATTTAATCATTGAGTGATTACATATTAACGAGGGATATTAATGGGGTGGCCAAACTAAAGTCTATTTGGTTACTGTAGCATTTTTTCTCACTTTCCAGCAAATTCTACAACCCAAGCTTCAACCATCCTTCGGTTCTAAAGGTTTAATGACCTATGGGCACTGTGAACTCTTTGGATTGCGAGTCTTGATGAGCTGTAATGTAAGGTAAAAGCATGCTAAAAGAGTATAAACAAATCACTTTAGCATTGATTTCTCTTTTCAAGAGCACTCTGTCAGCGGAACAAACAGCCAGTCAATACAGTTAGACTGGCCTCTCTCTACACTGGCACAAATGGAGAAGAATGTTGTTTCAGATTCGCTATCACAAATCATATCTGTGTCTAAAGGATGACTGCAGAGGTCATTTCATATTTCATAAATGTTTCATACGTGTCATACATTATGAGTAGCGTCTTATTTTCTCTTTATTTTTGCTTTAATGACTGCAGCACTCAAGCTTCATGATACCTTACGATCATGTTCACCAGCATGATTTGAGAATGTTCCAAAGCCAAAGAATATCTTGAGAAGACACAAATTAAATCTAAATGAATATTCTTTTGTCACATTCGTGTTGTAAGGATAATGTAATACGCATGACGAAGATGAATAAAGGTAGTAGTCTTTAATAATCCACGAGGCAGTAATGCACAGAAGAGCAACAGTTCAAACACAATGCTAACAATGATGACACCGGACAACCAAACACAAACTGGACTGAACTAATATACACATGATAGTTAGACACACACACCTGAACATAATGCCTAAATCAAACGAATAACCATGACACCAAATGAACCAAGGCCAACTGTGATGAAACACAAAGAGTCCAAACCAAAAGAACCTGTGACAAGGGGTTCGGAACACTTTTTAGAGACCAATTCTCACTATTAACTAGTTTCTTATTAGCATTGTGTATTAGAATATTGGCTGTTTATTAGTACTTATAAAGCACATATTAATGCCTTTTTCGAAAGAAAGAAAGAAAGAAAGAAAGAAAGAAAGAAAGAAAGAAAGAAAGCCGAATGCTCGATTCTGTATGCGACATAAACATAAAAACTCTGCAGTCTTCATGAAATGTAGGTGCTAATTTGGGTTGATTTGTCTCTGTCTCTGTAGTTCTTTGTTTTTTTCATACATTATATTTTACTAAGCTTCTGTGTATTATCCAGAGATGTATTATTACTGGTGGTTTTAAAAACTAGTCACACGATTGTTATATAAAATAAAGGCATTGCACATTCAAACTATTTAAATGTTTTGATGTCTTATCTGCATGAATTATCAAGAAGAGCTTTAGAATTTCTTTCTGACCGTCACAGTGGGTGGGCTAATGCCCACAGAGCTCAGGGGTATAGCTAAATCCCTGCTAGCTCTGGCTGTGCTCAGAAGATAAATCCAGCGCAAGACACCCACACAAGTTTTTCAATCCCCTAGGCAGCATACAGCGGGCCACACATTTGTATTGGGACAATTCATGACTCATCAAGGTGTTCCAGAGGCGATGTGACAAATCCTACAAGGCTGAGGTCATGAATATGAATTAGGTCATGCTGATGTAGCTTGGTAAACTTCTTGGAGTCACATATAACCTAATTAAATCATAAGCCAAGTCTTCAACTTAGTAGGATTTAACTGCATAACCAGCTAGTCAACTAGCTGTCGTGTACTCAGCAGGTCAGGGTTTGGCTGGTTAGCTTCAGCAGTTAGCTCCTGTTGGTTTGTTTCTCCATTGTCTTTCAGAAGTAGCTATGTATTATGACTAAATAAAATATTTAACAGAATAATTCACTCAAAAATACAAATTTGCTGAAAAGATGTGTTAATCATAACAGATTTAGCATTACATCACTTTCACACCAATTGATCCACTGCATGTTTGTATTAAATCTTCAAACTGGTACTTCTGGCTATAATAGTCCTCTA